AGTGATTATCGAAGTAACGAGCCGGGGCGGAGCAGTAAAGAGAAGAGCAAACAGCAGGCAACGACTTGGACGCGAATTCAACGAATCGTAACCAGGGCTCGACCAAGTGGAATAAGTATGGTATATATACATACTATCGGCCAGAGAGATATATAGAACGCCCGTTAACTCTCTAGAGACTAACGCATTAACGAATGTATTAACGAATGTAAAGAATCTGTAAAATTACGCGAACCTCTGTTTACTGTGAGAATTGGATTGAATGTCTCGATTGTTGTAGTTGTAGCGTGTCTAGTAAATAACTGAAAGAGCGTGTCAGGATATTTTTTTTTCTAATAGTTAGCAGATATTCTACGGTGATAAATATAAATAAGATAAATAACTCGAGTCGAATATTAAGATAAATAACTCGAAAAATAAGAGTACGCATGAGTATCAGACCTCATCCCTTTAGGTACGCTCGTGGAGATATAAATGAATTGAATATTTGTGAGATTTTATTTATTATAACAATTCTCTCGCGTTCTTCTCAAGTTATTAAAAATAAAAAAGGAAAAAGAAAAACAATCGTTAAAAAATAGGAATACGAGCGTTTACATAAGTAAAAGTCGAACAGACTTAGCTGTTAAACCTCTGCGTTTAAAATTTATCTTAATTCAACATCGAGGTCGCAATCATTCTTTTCTATAAGATCTATAAAAAAAATATATAACGCTGTTATCCCTAAAGTAATTTAATCTATTAATTTTAAGTTAAAAATCAAAATATATTTTCTTTAATTAAAGTCTTTATTAATTAAACTTTATTAAATTTATGAAATTTAATAATTCTCCCAATTAAATATTAAATTGAATTTTATATTAATTATAAAATTAAACTAATATAAAATTCTGTATTTATATTAATTATAAAATTAAACTAATATAAAATTCTGTATTTATATTAATTAAATTAATATAAATTTCTATATTTATATTAATTATAAAATTAAATTAATATAAAATTCTATATTTATATTAATTATAAAATTATATTAATGTAAATGTCTATATTTATATTAATTATGAAATTTAATTAATATAAAATTCTATATTTATATTAATCATAAAATTAAATTAATATAAAAATCTATATTTATATTAATCATAAAATTAAATTAATATAAAATTCTACATTTATATTCATCATAAAATTAATATAAAAATCTATATTTATATTAATCATAAAATTAAATTAATATAAAATTCTACATTTATATTAATCATAAAATTAAATTAATATAAAAATCCATATTTATATTAATCATAAAATTAAATATAAAATTCTATATTTATATTAATTATAAAATTAAATTAATAATTCTATATTTATATTAATTATAAAATTAAATTAATAATTCTATATTTATATTAATTATAAAATTAAATTAATAAAAATCTATATTTAATTATAAAATTAAATTAATATAAAATTCTATATTTATATTAATTATAAAATTAAATTAATATAAAATTCTTATCGTCCCAAAAAAAAAAAAAAAAATGAGCGTGTCCAACGTAGTAACACCAGTCCCAGCTAACGTAAAAGCATTAAAATCAGCGAAAGGATCGATAAATTGTAGTTCTCTATAAACGAAACAATACAATTATTATGCACCAGATTATTATGCGTCAGATTTCGTTTCTTCTTTTGAAAATCGCTCTTTCAACTTTCGTCTCGCAGAGGCGAAAAGGTCGTCGAAGTGAGCAAGAAGATGGTAATCTAATAAAGCACTAAATGGTCCCTGCCGTGAACTGTGAGTTTCTTCGAATCGCGGCGCTTCGACCGCGGAGATCTTCGTTCGAGATCTTTCTCATACTTTTCTTCATCGGATCACGACATCACGGTATAAATTGAACACGAATTGAACTACAGCGAACAGATTGTTCCTGAGAGGTGAAAACACGCGACGTTTCGAAAGGGAAGAGTGTGGGATTCTCGTCCCTTTGTATATACATTCCGGTCGTTAAGCGTGCGAAAAATAATGACAGCGATCGTTCCTTTCCATCAACTTTAATTCTACGTTGGCCGCTCGTTCCGCCAACTGCGCCCGCAATTGTTACCGTCACGCGATTCGACGTTTTACGATCTCAGATACCCCGAAAGGGTATTGCCCTGAAGATTCTCGATTCGAGATTCCTCTCGATCGCGAATCGAACGCCCCGGCACACGCAACGCAAATTCAAAACTATACACGTTACCAACGTGGATTTTTATCGTAGATCACGAGTTGGTCAAACTCGATAACAGGATTTTATTTGATACTTCGTGGGTATTTATATTTTGTATATTATATTAATTACACCCAGGATTTTATTTAATACTTTGTAGTTTTCTGTATTATATTTATATTTTTCATGTTGTATTTTGCATATTATATTAATTATGCCAAGATTTTATTTAACACTTTATAGTTTTTTGTATTATATTTATATTTTTCATATTGTATTTTGTATATTATATTAACTGTACCAAGATTTTATTTAATATTTTGTAATTTTGTGCATTATATTTATATTTTGTATATTATATTAATTATACCAAGATTTTATTTAATACTTTGTAGTTTTGTATATTAATTATAACAAGATTTGATTTAATACTTTGTAGTTTTGTGTATTATATTTATATTGTTTGTGTATATACTTATATTATTTTTTATATTAATTATACGGCTAGATATTAATTTAAAGTTCTATATATATATATACGTAATTGGAAGTTAATGGATTTTATTATTTACTATATTACTAAATTTATTATAAATATCATGTTACTAAATATAATATTCATTTTGGTAATATAAATATTATATTACTAAATTACTAAATTTATATTTATATTACTATATTACTAAATTAATATGATTTACCCTGAATTAGAAAAATCCAAAATTTCATTCCTCATTAAATTCTCCAAAAATATGGAATCTTGCTATTTCTTTAGATTGCTACTAGCTAAATTACCGCGGCTAAGTTACTGCATACAAAAGATATCATTAATATCATTAAGATATCAGAAATCTAAGATATCATTCTTCATCTTTATCAAACAGTATTAATTGTTGTCTAGACTGTCTGTTGTGATAATTTTGCCATGGCAGCTAGTGGGTTCCTATTTCCTCGAATGATAGTAATCGTTAATTTAAACAGAAATTCCACTTCTGAAAATGACGCACACAACAGACGACTGATATCAAATTCTTCAATTGTGACGTATTTAGTTTCTATGGTCGACGCTACATACTTTCGTGCTGACGGTATTACTAAGGTATGTTGAGTAAATTCTGTGTTCACCCTTCTGTGTAGTGTCTACTTCTGAACAAGTGATAGATCAATAAATAAATAATTCTAAATAATAAATAATAATAAATATAATATAATAAATATTTACTATAATAATTATAATATATTATAATATAATATATAATAAATAATTATATAATAAAATATTAATAATTATATTATATTTATTATATTTATTAATTATTATATTATAATAATATGATAATTCTAAAGTTTATGGTAGTTAACATAATATAATATAATAAATAATTATATAAAAATAAAATATTAATAATTATTAATAATTATATTATATTTATTATATTTATTATATTATTGTATTATAATAATATGATAATTCTAAAGTTTATGGTAGTTAACAAAGTTGAACTTAATTTTGAATTACATTCAAAAACTGAATTTAATCGACAGAAAATCACAAGAAGACTTGTTGAATTTAAAATGTATTTTTTCCACTCGAATAAAATATATGATAACTTTGCATGTTAGTAGTGATACTCTAAAAGATTACTTTCTGTAGATAATATTCTAAACGATTAGTTATAAATAAATAGAAATATGAACGAAATTCTTTGTAGAAATTTTTCTTATAAGAAAAATAAAAGGGTCGCAAAATTAAAATTAATTAATAACGATTTATTCGACTATGAAAAATACTATGAATTTTAGATAAATACATGGATTACTTTCTAAAAATACAAATGAAATTAAATTATAAAAAAAGAACAGTTGCAGGATTGTTTCAATAAAAAAAAAAAAAACAAAGATTCTCATGAAGGAGAAACTGATAAATTATCCAAATGGTAGAGTATGGACATGCATAAGTATCGGTCGTTACACTGAGAAAGGTAAACATACACCATCATTCAAAAATATCAGGACACTTACTTGCCTCTCGCGCGATTTCATTGCGAAATTATAAGTAAAAATGATCTCAATGATTTTATTATCACAACTTCCCTCTACAGTGTTACTGAATTTTATGATATATAATATTATCACAACTTCCCCCTACAGTGTTACTGAATTTTATGATATATAATACTATCACAACTTTCCCCTACAGTGTTACTGAATTTTATGATATATAATATTATATTGTAAACGATTACAATGTATATAATATTATATTGTAACGATTACAATGTACATAATATTATATAGTAACGATCACAGAAACTATAAATAATTAATACAATCGTTTGGAACTGTTTAATACAATATCCCATATCATACAGTACCTCAATTAAAAATTTCAAGATCAATTTCCATCGAACCGATAATAAAAATAAAACTAACATCAACGTAAAACCGCAGTCGAGTTGAAATAAAAAAAAAAAAAAAAAAAAAAAAAAAAAAAAATGAAATCGCACGGACGGGTGTAATTGAATTATGAAACGAGATTCGAAAAATGAAATTGAGAGCTCGAGGGATGGATGAAAAAAAATGAAATTCATACAGAGACAGAGATTTCTCTGTACCGTTCGAATCTCTTTAAGATTACGTTGATTTACAGCTCGAGCGAGCTAATTAACTTGTCTGACTCGAGTCGAACGAAAGTTACACGAAGCTTATCGCGGCTTTAAACGACAGTTTCCGCACTGTCGAATAAAACGGTCAGCCCCGGGTACGGAAAAAGAGAGCATGTATATTTACCTGATCTCCTTCAGAAGCCTGCGCGAGATGTTGGATGTGCAGCTGTAGTTCTCAATGTACCTGTGCTGATTCTCAGGTAAGTTGCAATTAACATTAGGCGCACAGAGAGTCACGAAATGAGGTCTCAGCCGGCCGATCGTGTATTTGGCGATGTCGGTGATTAAAACAGTGGTTGCTGCTCCAAAACCGAATACGCCAATCTGCAATGTCAAATGCGTTTATCATTAATACGATCATCGTTACTACGTTTATATTACACAATTCTATACAAGAAACTAAATACTGTAAATACATGTAAATGGTATATACTGTAAAAAATTGCATATAAAAAATAGTATACTGTAAAAAATTGCATATAAAAAATAATATATACTGTAAAAAATAGTATATACTGCAAAGAATTGTAAGAATTGTGAGAAACTGTCGTTAGAAAAAAAATTGAAAACATATTTCTATTTTTTAACTATTCTATTTTTGTAACTATTTTAAAAAATAGTATATTTTGTAACTATTGTAAAAAATAGTAAAGAATTGTAAGAATGCTATTTTGTAACTATTGTAAAAAACAGTATATACTGCAAAGAATTGTAAGAATTGTGAGAAACTGTCGTTAGAAAAAAAATTGAAAACATATTTCTATTTTTTAACTATTCTATTTTTGTAACTATTTTAAAAAATAGTATATTTTGTAACTATTGTAAAAAATAGTAAAGAATTGTAAGAATGCTATTTTGTAACTATTGTAAAAAACAGTATACACTGTAAAGAATTGTAAGAATGCTATTTTGTAACTATTGTAAAAAATAGTATATACTGTAAAGAATTGTAAGAATTGTGTCGTTAGAAAAAAAAATTGAAAAAATTGGGTATATTTCTATTTTTTGACTACGCTATTTTTGTAACTATTGTAAATTTTTTAACTATACCATTTTTTACTAATTTTATAACTAATATTGTAAACTGAACCCCTTCACCAATTCACTCTCGTCTTTTGAGGAGACAAATCTAATAATTATAGTTATAACCGAGTTATAAAATTTTAAAAATTCTTCAAAGGGATTTTACATGGCACAGATAATGTAGCAAATTATAAATTTACAAATATGATATTGTGTATAATTAATAATATAAAAATGTATACAAATATTATATATATTATAATAATATATATTTATTATACATATTATAATAATATAATTACATATTTATTATATATATTATAACAATATAATTATATATTATTATATTACTATATATATAACATATATTTGTAAATTTGTAAATATCAATATCATATTTGTGAATTTACAATTTGCATGTATATACAATATAAAAAAATTTAATTTATATACAGACACGTGTATATTAATATAAAATTTATAGAATACAATATAGACACGTATTAAATATTCAACAAGAAAAGAAAGAAAATGTATGTCGAATTATTCAGGGGAAGAGACACTGAAAGGAGATTAGTGTTTTTTTCTTTTTTTGCTCACAAAAAGGATTTTTATCCTCTTAACGTGTTTCCTCACATCGAGCAATCAAGAATTTTCTAAACATTGACAGAAAAGCACGTGTTTCGAGGCTGTTCTTCGAAAAGTATACAAAAGGAAAGATAGCTGTTCCTCGTAACATGATCACAATATTTTCCTGCTTCTATGATGTGGTTTTAGGATCGTGGCTTGAATCTATCTACGTGGAACAAAGAAAAGTTCGATTGGTTTTTTACAGTAGAATAAAAACGCACCTTCTCGTATGCACCCCATAACCATGTAGGTATGTTATAGCCAAATAATATCTTCGTCGTGTCAGCATCGCACCGTCTAGCGTAAAAATATTCTCCGACTATCATCTGCAACAAAATTTTCACACCTATGTTAGCGCACTGTGTTATTTAAAACATTTTACAGACAGAAAAAAAAAGAAAAAGAAACATTACACTTTATATGATATTATTTTTTTTTTTTTTTGAAACGTATTTAGCAAGAGACATGATCATCCTGAACTAGTGAACATTTTCAACATTTTCATGGCGATGTGAATTAAATGGAAATGCGAGATGTAGGTCAGAAATCACGACAATTATCTGCATAAGATGTTTCAGCTTCTTACAGACTTCGTCAGGATTGATTGATGATAAATCAGAAAAAAGAAAAGACAAAGAAAAGTGACAAGTTTTCACGAAAAACGTGAAATAGAAAAGGAATGGTAACATATTCACGGTTACTATACCATTGGACAGGAATAGATCAACGTAACCTAGACTAGATGTTAACAGTTATTTTAAGGTGCCCATTGCTCTTAAGTCGGTAGAAGACTGTCGACAGTGAAAAAGAATGTACTCTGTATGTTTACTCCATGTTTAATAATAAGAGAGTAAAAATAATAAATATTAATCAACCACAATCGTCCATGAAAAGTCAAACGATACTTTCAATTTTTGAACAATTTTAATATTATATTATACAATATTTTATAATATATTATATTATAATATAAAATATTAATTTTTTATTGTATATCATATTATATTATTAAAATATTAAATTTTATAATATATTACATTATAATATACAATATTAATTTTTTATTTTGTATTATATTATATTATATTATATTATATTATATTATATTATATTATATCATATCATATCATATCATATCATATACAATATTAATTCCTTAAATAATTTTTTCAAATTACGATAAAATACACTTGAGTAAAAAATATTAACTCTGTTCTTCTAGATTATATATATATATATATATATATATATATATATATATATACATATACAGAGAACAGAGTTAGTATTTTTTACTCTACTACAATTGACTTTAAAGTGTATTTTATCGTAATTTGGAAAAATTATTTAAGGAATTAATATTGTATATAATATAATATAATATAATATAATATAATATAATATGATATGATATATGATATAATATAATATAATATAATATACAATAAAAAATTAATATTGTATATTATAATGTAATATATTATAAAATTTTAATAATATAATATGATATACAATAAAAAATTAATAAATAAATAAATATATATATATCACTCAAAATGAACATTACATAGTTTTTAACTAAAAAAAAGATGTATGAAGCGATACATATATATATATATATATATATCACTCAAAATGGACATAACATAGTTTTTAAATAAAACAAAATGACAGAACGCGACGAATAAGTGAAGAGATAAAGCAGCAGAGTTAAACGAAAAGCATAAAAATCTTTCAGCAAAAGATATCAGAGAGTAAATCACGTAATTCATTAAAAGCTTTTCTACATTGATTACATTCCTACTCGCAGTGACACACACCTTCTCTGGTCAATCTCTCCCTTCCATCTAAAGTCGAGTGATTCGCAAAGCTCGGTGAAAGCTTGTGAAAAAAAGCTACCTACCACGTCGAGAGACTAAGGTTCATTAATTATGACCTCACTGCGTCATAAATTAATGAATTGTTCGAAGATACGTCCCCCTAAGATAATATCCCCCTTTTGTCTCACAGCGGCCTCTCTCTCCCTTTTCCTCTGTGCCCAGAAGAAAAAGAAAAAGAAAAAGAAGAAAAAGAAGAAGAAGAAAAAGAAGAAGAAGAAGAAGAAGAAGAAGAAGAAGCAGCAGAGAAAGGATAAAACAGGTAAAAACCGTGCCGTTGTATTTCATTCAACTGGCGGCCGTATCACCTGGCGACTTTTATCTGGAATCTGGCCGGTTAACCCACTTTTGTTCGGGGCCGTGACAGATCGGTGGAAGCCAGAGTAGAGATTACTTTCGTTTCGAAACGCGCTCGAGAATTTTTGGAAGCCTCTCCCCTCACGGTTTTTTTATAATCACGCGGATTACTGCCTCGAGTCGCGCGCCGTTGCTTTTGATTAATCTTCGAGAGAGGAACCTGAGGGAAAAGGGCTGTGACACGCGTGAGAACTACGACGGAAGAACTCGACTTTGTCCGTGTTTTAAAATTCTACGTTCAGTTGAGATTTCGGGTTCTCTAAAAAGAAAAAAAAAATGTACGAAAGTGAATTTATAAGATATATTTATTTATGTATTTATATTAATTTATATTATATTTTTTTATAATATATTATCATACTTTATACTATTATTATATAATAATATATAAATATATAGTAATATAATAATATTATTATCATATTATTATATAATACTTATATTTTTTTAAAATATATTATACTTTTACATTATTATATAATAATATAATAATATTATTATTATACTATTATACTTTACTATATATATAATGTATAATTATTATATATAATAATATTATTATTATATTATTATATAATACCTATGTTTTTATAATATATTATTATACTTTATACTATTACATTATTATATAATAATATAATAATACTATTATTACANTAATATTATTATATTATTATATAATACTTATGTTTTTTATAATATATTTTATACTTTATACTATTACATTATTATATAATGATATAATAATACTATTATTACATTATTATACTTTATATATAATGAATAATAATTATTATATATAATAATATTATTATATTATTATATAATACTTATGTTTTTTATAATATATTTTATACTTTATACTATTACATTATTATATAATATTATATTATTATTATATTATTATATAATAGTTATATTTTTTATAATATATTATTATACTTTACACTATGCATATAATGTACAATAATTATTATATATAATAACATTATATTATATTATATATAATATTTATGTTTTTTTATAATATATTATTATACTTTATACTATTATATTATTATACTTGCATTTTTTATAACATATTATTATACTTCTGTTTATGTTTATTATGTTACTTGCGCTATGGCTGTACTATGGACTCGCAACTAGCTAATGAAAATTCTCTACGTTACTATTACAATGCAGAAAAGATTTCGCTGTCCATGCGTATTCTTTCCTACGCAACGAGAAGAGCAAGATGTTATTTCATTCCTTATTATATATTATATCATATGATATATTACATCGAAAGGGAAATATTTCTCACGATTGTCCCTGCGATCAAGCGCACAAATCCTTTCCTCCTGTTCATCTAAATTGCCATTCGATCTGTCCACGAACGTGTTTAGTGGCACTTGAAATAATAAGCAGGCCCTTGTTAGCAATCTCTCCTCTAAGTAAGCCTCGTGCTTGCTGTTCACGAGAATTCCATTTCACCTCGTTTGTTTTGGGTTGCTCGCTCCACGTGAAACGTGGTTTCATCTGGCTTCACGAATTTCCTACCTGGCTCGTCAGGAATCCGAGAAGGGTTCGTGCCTGGAGTTTCGATTCCTTTATTCTTCGGGCTCGGAGGAAGGTAGACAGGCCTGGGTTGATAGCTCTCACGACGAAACTGACATTATAATTTCGTTGGATGAATATATATGTACGTACGTCGAAAAAGGAGAATTAAAATTAAAAGAAATGCTCTGGATTTGATCGAAATACGATTCTAATGGAAATTGAGTCCCTTCCATAAATATAATTCTGAGAGTTTGCCTCTTTTTTCTCTTGAATGCGTGTACAAGTAAAATAATAAGTTACTTAATGATATATTACTTAATGATATATTATTAAATTATATTGATATTATTTTAATAATAATATATTATTATATTAATATACATCATAATAATATATAATATAGAATTATTAATATATTATTATTAAAATAATAATATTTAATAATATATTATTATATTATAAAAATGATAGATTATTTTACAACAAGTTAATAATAAACAGGATTATAAAAGTATGATTAACTTTTTTGACCTTGCTCCTCTGGTAACTGGTTCGCGGACCTTAACGAGTGACCGGGACCGTATACAATAACTCGTCGCTTTCTTTTTCTCTTGAACTCGTAAGGTACGATATCACTGGATAGAAATGATTAAGAAGTAAATAAACTCATCATTTGTTTCGTCTGGGTGACATTTAATAAGTCTAATTAAGAAAAAAGGTATAGAAAATGGTAATATAAACTTTGAAATTGGATTAAGTCTGCATTCAAATGTAATGTTCTTTTTCTAAATTAATTTTTTTTTATCATTGATAAAAATTTATTTTAATTAAAGATAATAATTGAAATTATTACAATAAGTATAATAAGTAATAAATAAATTAATATCATATATACTATAATCAGATAAATTTTTTAATTGGAAATTAAATGTAATATAAGACTTTTATACTTAAACGTTGAGAAAATGTTGCAATTTGGGAACAGAAAATTCTCGACGTGCGTCATTCCAGCGCACGAGGTTAAAAATGCAGAGTATTTGCAAAAAGAGGAGACAGAAACACGAAGTAGAAGCGAGAAGAAAATTTAAACTAGAAGCGAAAGAGAAATAATATTATTCTGAGGAACATCGTAGACGAGAACTCTCAATAAAAGTCTCAATTAAGTCGCGGACCTTAACTGTTTCGATTAACACGCAACAATGCAATTCGTGTGCCCTCGCGTCCACAGGAACGCGCTTCCCTAATTGAAATCCTAGAAAACTGCAATTTATTGACGAGCGACGCACGATGGCTTGCCCTAATATTCATTAACCGCTCTGTACAATCGGCAACGCTTCATTCGCCACGTCTGTTGTCGAACGAATACATAATCACCCACAGAGTCGATCAATTTCCTTCGGTCCGCTCGATTTCCCTCAAGCGTGATTTCTCGTCTGTTAGAATACCCGGCGGATATCAATCAAACGGTGACAGGAGAAAGTGAAACGCTTAAAAATACGAGAGCCAAGAGGCTCGTTAACCCTGGGGACATCGCGAGTCATTAATTCAAT